TTACAGTGAAGCTGTGCATAGAAGGCACTCAGAGAGGCTGATCTCTGTAACTTCATCCCACTGCTACTTCATAAAATCACAAAATCAAATAATCTGAGCTGTCTAAAGCCTAAACGTGTTTAATCCAGCTGAGGCCTGAGCATGAACATTTCCAATAAATAGGACCAATCCCTTTGTGACATTATTTCAAGCTCCTAAACCACCCTATGTGTGATCTCCTATGGACCTGCTCCAACTTATTAACCTCCTCCTTCCTAAAATGTGTCACTCATAAGAGAACATAATACCAGACAAAAAGTCTAAGCAGGGTAAAGCGCAACAGCACTATCATCTTGATGATTCCGTGAACTATGCTTTCATTAATACAGGCAAATGAAATATTTGTTTTGTTGTTTGTTAGTTTGTGTGTTATTTTGTTGTTTGTTTTGTTGTTAGTTGTTTGTGTGTTTTTTTGTTGTTTGTTTTAAGGTATAACATAATTGCATTGATCCATACTGAGCCTACAATCCATGGAAAAAACTAGATCTCTTTCACATGAACTGTTTAATTTATATTTATTCCTATTAATTTTAATTTTAGGTTAATTTCATGATTTTAGCCTAAGATCTTTTTGTATCCAGAATCCATAGTCCAAAGTGGTACCTGTCCTTCCCAGCTTCATACCATCCATAATAATTTGGATAAGCATGCCATCATCCACAAATACATTGCTTTTTTTAATGCTTCTATTTAACCCATGCTTCAATTCTTTCTGGAAGCCAGCTGAGATACCACTAAACCCAGACTTTTGCGATTTTGCTAGCTATCTGTCCTCAGTTTTGTTCTTTTATTCAAGAGTCTCTGGAATAGCAATAAATCACCAGTGACAAGCATGGCACTGTCTCTCTATATGATAAGCTGTCAAATCATGGTCATAAGGCTGTGCCTACCTCCTATCTCCCATTCTTCCTTTTACCTTTACTTGCTATATGTTCATGAAGTGGATGCCAGGAGGTAACAAGTATTTACTTTTCATAAACACCTACAATAAGCATTCTCACTAACTTTTTCAGAGTAACAGGCCCTATGGAGGCTACCCACTTTTAAAATTTTGGTTTATTTAATTAGTAAAAAAAACCCTAGTATCTTTAGTTTGTCTTACATTTTTATATCAACTTTATATAAATTTTTTTTCAGCATAAAGAAGATGTTTAAATGTTGAGATAAAAGTCACCAATAAATTAAATATTATTAACAATAATTAACATCATTATTAACAAGAAAACTAACCTAATTTTTTTGAGTTATATGTGCTACTTAAACTATCATATATTGATAAGTTAAATTACTAACTTTTCAATTTTGAAAGCTAATAGTATATATACATTTAGACTTTCAAAAGTCAAGCAAATATTGGACTCAAGATTTAGAAATGCAGACTGACATTGAAAGCTTATTCCATGTCATTTGAATGTTCTTACTTTGACTATAACAAGAGTTCAAGATAGTGGCAGGCTGGATTTGAATTTTATGATTTTTCTTTTTGCCTTTTGAACTTCAAGTGAGACCTTCAGGTTATCTAATCAAAGGACTTTCATTAAATATTTATTAGTGTTTTTCATTTGAAAATATTCAAATCAATAAAACCAGCATTTTTTATTAATCAAAACTTACTCAAAAAATCTAAGGCATACTGTATGTACCATATTTTTTTATTTTCTTATTATATTATATACTATAAATACGTTATTTTTTTTTACTCTGTCTTAAGAAATACATAGTCATCTAAAGTATGGTACCTCCTCAAAAATACTCAAATTTTTAAGGATACTGGGGCCCTGGTTATTAAACTATGTGGAAATTTTTATTTTCAAATTGTTAAGAGTAATATAAATAATACTTCCAAAGTCTTTCAGATGAAAATACAACTATATAGCCCCAGTCCTACTTTTAAAAAATACTATACAAAATATTAGGCTATGACCCACTGTTCATAATCAGGCACACTAAAGGGGGCAAAATTTCATGAAGTGAAATTTTGAATTTTCATTAGTTTACAGATATTCTCGAAGTGTGACACATAAACCTTTGAGGGGTCTTGATACCTTCAAAGGGTCCCTGAGAACAAAACTATCTAATAATAACTAAGACATTATTTGACCAAGAAAATACTCTTTCCTCTTCCAAACGAACATATGTGTGACACTGGATTCTTATTATATACCGCAATCAAAATTACACGTCATAACAATTGAATGAAGAAGCAGACACGGGAATCTGTCTTCCATTAATCCAAACATTAAAGGTGTTTATAAAAATAGGCTAAAATGTCACTTGTCACACATTTTTGGTTTGGAAATACAGTTATTTCTTCATTAAATTGTATACTATTTTAATAAATGAATTGTGTATTATTATTATTTTTAAATTAAGGCTTTTTAAAAATAAGTATCAGTTTAAATTCCTATTATGGCGTTATTGATAGATTATCCTACATAAACAAAAGCCAGTTTTGAGGATCTCAATACTTTTTGAGAGTGAAAGGAGATTCTAAGACCAAGAAGTTTAAGAATTGCTGCTTTGTAGATTTTTTTCTAAAAGTATTTGTGTCAAGAGAAATATTTTGATATATCTAAGTTTTGTTGTTGCACCTACACTCTATGCCTATTTATATGTGTGACACACATGCACACACACACACACACACACGTCCAGATGTGTCCAGTATCCCCATCTGGAATCACAAGAGTATTTGGCATGAAAAACATTGCAAGGTACTTTAAATTTTAAGGAATTTAAGGAATTATTTACAGGAAACACAATTTTAGACAAAAATAAATTCCACGTCCAAGGGTATTTCCCCCATTTAAGGTAATTCAAGGTTCATGGAATGTTTTAGTTATATGATCGCTCCACAGAACTTGAAATGATTGGGTTATGTTTGAATGTGACTACTTTACTCTATTTAACATTGTTCTATGTTTCATTTCTAGATATTTAAAGAAATCCATAACTTTTCACGTTCTGCAACTAGAATATAAAATAAATTATGCACAAAATATGTAATGCAATCATATTATTCTGAGATATTTCTGTGAATAGACTACATTCATTTGGTAACAAAAATAAACTATAAATGAAATGAATTGTATCCTAGCTAATATAAACAACTGCAAGTTATATATTTTAGTATAATTCTTTTGAAAGTATTATTATCTATGATATTTTGCTTAAGAAAATTGAGAGTTGAGGGAAATACGGTTATGATTATAATTAATGCTATAATTCAATGTCATTCAAGTGGGGTATTCATCATCAAATTATAACTATACATAAAGATATATGCATGCATATATAGTCACTTGAGAGTATAATAATACGGTAAATTATTTTCTTCTTCAATGGACTTGGGAAACTTTTTTTGAAGTATCTAGGTGTAATCATTTATTGAAAGTTCATCTAAAGTGTATGTCATTCATATGTTCAAATGCTTGTCTGACAATAATCCTAGCATAGTTTTATACATTGTATTGTGAGACTAAATGAGCAGTGAGGAGGAAGAATTTAGAGAACTCAATGAATAGGGTGAATTGAGAGAGCATTAGGAGGAAAGGATTCTAGGAAAAGTATAGACTAGTGGAATTCTTGTATTTTTCTATTGATAGAATGTAGTACGAATAATTCCAAATAGTTAGAATTTTTAACTATAAGATTTTATGTATGTGTGTATTATGAGAAAAAAACAATAGTTTTCAATAATAGTATATACAAATTTAACACAGAAAATGTACTTACATGAATTTAGTAATACTTTTAGATGTTAAATATTTTATTAGTCTAAAATGCCCTAAAAATGTGGAATGCCTAAATGACTATTCAGAAAGGGTTGTTTTTCTCATTCATGATGTAACAATAGTAATTTGAGGAAAACAGAAGTATATTTCTTAAATTATTATCCTTACAACCATGTCTGAAGTTCTCAGATATTGTGTTTATCCTCTATTCAATTAAGAAAAAAATTCACACCAAATGATATAATAATGAATTATCAATTTGAATGATAACAATGGTAGGAGGGAAAGATGAAAGAAAGCCAATTGTATATGTCTCAGTGCTATCATTGTTAGTGATATCATAGAGAACATAGTAAGATTTTTAAAGTAAAGCAACAATTTTTTACATTATTCAATTATTGAAACTTTTAGTTTATGATTTAAACACCTGAAATACACACTATGAAACCACTGAAAAAAAGATATGTATAAAATGTCATGCTTACTTTTAGAAAGCTAAAAAAAAAAACTTGTGCAGGAGTGTTTATATTTATTACATTTTAAACTCATCCTTTCCTTTTATGCTAAAGTAGTATTTCTTATTTTATTGTTTTAATCTCTTTATTGAATAACAGGTCAATTGAGGTGGGGTTGAATTTTGTGCTCATGGAGAACTAGAAATAATCAAAGGACACAGATATATGAACAGCTGAAGTCTAAGGTATGTTTGTGGTGTGTTTGTGTCTGTGTGTGTGTTTGTTGTGGGGGAAGATGTATAAGAGATCTACTTGATTCCTAAGTATCCACAAATAGCTTTATTTACTGGTTCATAATTAGAAATTTCTAATTGTTGAGTATATTATAGAGGGGATTCCTTTGGTGTATGAAATGGAATAAATGGTTGCTAAGGTCCCTTTCAACTCTCAAATTCTATAATTCTGTGGCTCGACAGAAATACTTAGAAATGGAGAAAATATTCTTGACGAATACGGATAGCTAAGAGATTCTAATTAAAGGCCTTAGTCTCCTAGCAAAAATATAGCTTACAGACATAATCAGCATACTGCCTGCCTACAGAGGCAGCATAGTGCTTTTTGATCAAGGATAAGGGAGTCCTATGAATTCATCCTTTAAACATCATGAAGTACAAAGCAAAAGCAAAAGTAAAATCCATTGTGACTTTTGACAATCATTAAGAAGAAAAAGGAAGTAACAATTGCCAAAAACATCACAAAAGGAACATGTTACCTGGCTATGACAAAGAGCACACAACTGACACCCAAGTAAGCCAGCAGAATATACATCCAGATATCAGGGGAGAGAGGATTCAGGAAGGAGAAGACGCCTGGGTTTGTACCATTGGGTTTGCGGTACAAAATACTTATTCCAAGAGTCATAAAGGGCTTGGAAAAGTCGATGACCTTCTCTCGAACATAGGTAATAGCCAGTGGGGCAACTGCAAGGTCAGCTTTCTGTTGGCAGAAATATAAAGAGAAGAAAAATAGACTATAAGTCAATAGGAAGAAGGCAATCAAATTAGACAAAACAAAGACTTTATATTAAGATGGTTTGCCACTGTACTGACTAAGCTAACCTTAATGCAATCTTTTTTTCTGAAATAAAATGCCCAATTTACTTGGCTAGCTATTTCTTACAGGTTTTTAAATTAACAAAAAACTATATTTTTTAAAAACTTCGGGAATTAAAATAATGACAAAAGTCATTAAACATTTCTCAGATTTTGTACTATCAAAAAAAATTACAAATTTTTACTGTACAAGTTCATTTGGTATGAGTTACTATTTTATCAACACAGTAACTCAAACTTTAAAACATCTGTCTGATTACTTAGCCTTTCCAATGAGAACCAATTACAGTTTTAAAACCATAAAGATTAGCTCACTGGTTCAATCATTTATACTAAAGGATGGTAATCATAACCTTTTAAACTTTCCTATGTTTTTCATTCACTATACTTTTTGCTTTTATTTCTTGAATTTTTGTAATATTTTATATCCAAAAAGTTCATTGTAATTATTAAATTATTTATTCACATTTTTAAGCATTGCTAATTCTTTATTGTTTCTTAAAAAATACTGAACCAATCACCTTCAGAGACCACAGATTTAGAGATGCAGGCATCTCTGAGTACAACTCTTCTCATTTTAGAGATAAACAGACTCAGGGAGGTTAAGTGACTTGCTCAAGGTCATGTAGGTAGTAAGCATCAGAGAGATTTGAAATCAGGCCCTTTGACTTCAGAATCATTGCTCTTCGCATTTTCATACGCTGCCTTTTACATGTGAGAAGTCTAGAACTAAGAGAAATTCATTGACTTATCCATGGTGATCTATCTAGGAAGTAGCAGAGATGAAATTCAAAGCCAAGTCTCTCTCAAATCTCAAGTCCATAACTCTTTGTATTATACCATACTGTCTTTTAACTAGTGACTAAGAAAATGCAGTTTAATATTTTTAAAACTTTTAAATGGGAGCACTTACTATGCAAATAAGTTTAATGTCACCTTTGATAGCTTTCTTTCCATTTTGTTAATACTATTCATTGTTGAGGATAATCATGACAATAAATGGCCTTACTGTTAACTTATTTTTTTATTTTTTTGCTTTTTGGTGAGGTGATCAGGGTTAAGTGACTTGGGCAGGGTCACACAGCTAGTAAGTGTTAAGTGTCTGAGGCTGGATTTGAACTCAAGTTCTCCTGACTCCAAGACCACAACTTTATTCACTGTGCCACCTAGCTGCCCCTACTATTAACTTATTAAACAGTGGTAATATAGGTGAATAATATTGTGTAATGTCCAAATAGTTTATCTTGGCTTAATCTACTTTTTTTCCAAATTCAAATGTGCTGCCTCCCTTTGCATATGTTTTCCTAGAGAACACTACTAAACACTAAGCTCATTTCGTCAGCGGATCATAGATCTAGAACCAAAAGAGACCTCAGAGACCAGCTACCCTCAAACTCTTCACTTCAAACAGCCAGAAAACAAGACAAAAGGAGGTTAAGTGACTTGTCTGAAATAAGATTTGAATTCAGTTTCTCTGCCTCAATAACCAGTGCTTTTCAATTGATAAAGTAAAATGCCTTCATAATTCTAGTAGGCAAAATGAAAGGCCCAACTTAAATAGTATCTATGAAGGAAATATTCAACAATCAACAGACATAATTTTCTGAAAGGAAAGCAAAAATTCAAATTGAGAAAAACACTGTCAAGTACTTTTTGGGCATAATATGTTAAATTAAGAGGGAAAGCAGCTAAGTAAAAATGGATAAAATAAGAAATTAGCACATCTAAGGACATTAATGTATTTAATAAATGATTTTTTGTCATATCCTCAAATGGCTGAAGTTTATGATTGAGGAAGACATATAATTTTAAAAAAAAGAAAAAAAGAAAATCTCTCTCTTTCACCTTACATTTTCACAATTAGCAGGAGTACATTTTTTAAAAAGTGAAACATCATGTGTCAAGAACTAGGACTAATTTATTGTGCAAAAGTCATAAAAATTATACCCCAGGCCAGTCCTGAAATGGAGATGAATTTTTATTTATTCAGTCCGCAGAAATATTTTCTACGAACACATTTGGACTTCATTATAGAATCTCATTATAATTCAATCTTCTGGAATGTAATAGAAATTTTACTATTTAAAAGGTGTTTGCAATGATGGTTGTACTAATTTGCCATTATGTTAACTTGTTATCAAAAGCCCTCCAATTGGGTGGCCAGGGGTATAGGGCTGGCAGGAGGGAGTCTACAGTAGATTGATGGTTCACAGGTATAATTCAGAAATCTTTGTAGATTTTAACTCAAATTTGGCTTTATCTAACAAATGAAAATGAGTTCTGTTGATTGTATTCTGGTCACTAAGAACATCACAAAACTGTGTATTACTTGTTAGTGACTGATCAGAAGTAATGAATCAAGGTTTTGTAGCTAAAACAAGAAGTGAAATACATTTCTAATTCAATTCAATTGAACAAACATTTATTAAGTGTCTACTATGAGCAAAGTATTAATCTAAGTAGGAGAGATACAAAGACAAAAACAAACAATTCCCTCACATGAAAGTGTGGGAAAGAAGATGTATTAGATTGACTACCAAAATGGTCTGCAGAGCTGTTGTGCTAACCTTGTTGCTGCATGCCTGTGAAACCTGGACAGTATATCAGCATCCTGCCAGGAAATGGAATCTCTTCCATCTGAATTGTCTTAGGAAGATTCTGAAGATCACCTGGCAGGATAAGATACCAAACACTGAGGTCCTTTTTCGAACTAAACTGCCAAGCATTCAAACTCTAATACAGAAAGTGCAATTACGATGGGCTGGCTACATTGTTTGAATGCCAAATATATGCTTGCTTAAAAGACTATTTATGGAGAACTCACACAAGGCAGGCTCTCACATGGTGGTCAGAAGAAGTGATACAAGAATACTCTCAAGGTCTCTCTTAAGAACTTTGGAATTAATTGTGTGACACAGGAGACACTGGCACAGGACTGTCCAGCATGGTGTGCCCTCGAGAGAGAGAGCAAAGCAGAATTGAAGTAGCTCAAAAGAAACACAAGATACACAAATTTAGAGAATCCACTTCAAATGTTCACAAGGACTATTTGTGCCCAACCAACGGTAGAGTATTCCAAGCTCATATCAGTCTGATCAGCTACAGTCAGACGCATTGTAACTTGACTCTAACATAGTGATATTATTTTGGTTTGCTTTGAGATTTAAGGAAAACAACAAAAACATGGTGTGTGTGTGTGTGTGTGTGTGTAATTTTTTCCTTTTTGAACCAATTTAAATGTGAGGGCCAAGTATTGCCTGCCCTATCCCCACCATTTTCCCCTCCACTGTAAAAACTCTTCCTTTTCTGCCTCTTTCCTTTGAGATAATTTCCCTCATTCTTCCTCTCCCTTCTCCCCTTTCTCAGGGCATCACTTTTTCTTAACTACTTATTTTTTTTTACATCATCCCAACATAATCACTCACTCTCCCACCTTCTTTGTATGCAGAATCCTTCTAACTGACCTAATAATGAAAAAAATCTTAGAAGATATGTGCATCATCTTTCCACATAGAAGGGTAAAAGTTTAATGAGTCCCTTATGATTTTTCTTTCATGTTTACATTTTCATGTTTCTCTTGAGTCTTGTATTTTAAAGTGAAATTTCCTTTTTTTAAATTAATTTATTTTTATCTATCAACAATCACTTCCATATGCTTTTGACTTTAAAATTTTTCTCCCCCTTCCTCCCTACCACTCTCCCCAAGACGGCACAAAATCTGATATAGGCTATACATATACATTTCTATTAAACATATTTTCACATTTATGATGTTGTAAGTAAGAATTAGAACCAATAGGAGGAACCACCAGAAAGAGGAAACAAAACTCAACAGAAGAAAAAGAAAATAGCAAATAGCATGCTTCGATCTGCATTCAAACTCCATAGCTCTTTCTTTGGATGTGGACAGCATTTTCCATCACAAGGCCTTTGGAGATGTCTTAGATCCTTGTATTGCTGGGAAGGGTTAAGTCTATCAATATTTGTCATCAAATAACGTGGCTGTTATTCTGTACAATGTTCTTTTGGTTCTGCTCACTTCACTCAGCATCAGACCATACAAGTCTTTCCAGGTTTTTCTGAAATCAGCCTGTTCATCATTTCTTATAGCACAATAGTATTCCATTACATTCATACACCACAACTTGTTCAGCCATTCCCCAACTGATAGGCATCCTCTCAATTTCCAGTTCTTTGCCACCACAAAAAGAGCTGTTATAAATATTTTTAGACATTTGGGTCCTTTTCCAATTTGTATGATCTCTTTGGGACATAGCCCTAGAAGTGCTATTGCTGGGTCAAAGGGTATGCACATTTCTATAGCCCTTTGGGCATAGCTCCAAATTGCTCTCCAAAATAGTTGGACCATTTCACAAATCCACCAACAATGCATTAGTGTTCCAATTTTCCCACATCTTCTCCAACATTGATCACTTTCTTGTTTTGTCATGTTGGCCAATCTGATAGGTGTGATGTGGTACCTCAGAGTTGTTTTGATTTGAATTTCTCTAATCAATAGCTATTTAAAGCATTTTTTCATATGATTATAGAAATTTCTTCATCTGAGAACTGCCTATTCATATCCTTTGACCATTTATCAATTGAGGAATGATTTGTATTTTTATAAATTTGACTTAATTCTCTATATATTTTGGAAATGAGGTCCTTATCAGAGAGACTGGTTGTAAAAATTCTTTCCTAATTTTCTACCTTCTTTCTAATCTTAATTGCATTGGCTTTGTTTATGCAAAAACTTTTCAATTTAATGTAATCAAAGTTATCCATTCTGCTTTTTGTAATGTTCTTTATCTCCTGTTTCATCACGAATTCTTCTGTTCTTCATAAATCTGATAGGTAAACTATTCCTTTGCTCTGGAAGAACAA